CCAGCAGTATGTCAGTTTCTCTATATCCTTGTCATTAGAGTATGTGATCAGACTTGTATTTTTGCTAGTTATGTAGGTGAAAAGAAATGGTGTCTTGATTTAGTTTTAATCAGCATGTCTTATTATGAAAAGAATGATCTTTGCATATTTGATTGCTTCTTGTTTCCTGAAGCATCTTTTTGTGCTTTGGAACACTTTGGGATATGAGCCCACACTATATTAGATTATCCTTTGTGTTCTTATACTTCTTTGGGATCAGTCATAGCTATGGGCTTTGCTGTCTTTCAGGCAGGATTGACTATCTGTGGCATTGGACTGCATATAGTATATACTTTTGTGTACTTATGGCTGTTGCAACTATGCTGTAAAAACATTGTTATAAAATATTTTAATGTGGCTTTGAATTTTGCTGAGATAAGTTGTGAAATTCTTGTTCTCGACACTAAACAGGAATTACTTGAATTCCTTTTCCCTGAAATCAGATTTCATGAATAAGAATATATTTTAAATTAGTTGTTTCTAATATAAATTTATTTGTTTTTGAGAAATGACATTGCTAAGTGTGTCATTTTTATGTTAATCATCTGTTATATGGTATGTTCCAGATAAATAAATAAATAAATAAAGCCCATATATAAAAATTAAAATGTTTTGGTTACTTGTTCCATGTATAAACACACATTGATATCAAGCCAAAACATTTAAAAAATGTTATAACATATGCTTAACACAGGTAAATAAGATTATATAAAACTATATGAAAGCAAAGCTAATATTTTCCATTGGTTCCCTTTTAATCTCACTTCTTTAGGATAAACCATGTGTCTTAGTTACTTTCCTTGTTGCTGAGACAAAATGCTTGACACCCAAAGTTAAAGGAAGAAAGGTTTATTTGGCCCATAGTTTGTAGAGGTTTCAGACCATAATCAGCTGGCTCCAAAGCAGGGTGGCATGGCAGAGGGGCATCACAGAAGAAGAATAAACAGTCCATGGCAAAGCAGGGAAGGCAGAAGGTAGCCAGTAAGTGACAAAGCAGCTACTTTCTGCCCCTTTTATATTCTGTCTAGGATATCCGGCTTATTGCGAGTGCCACACCAATCAGTGAACTAATTCTTAGTAACTGTACATCCTTAATATCAGCCTTATACATTTTAAATCCAGCCATTTCTGCAAAAGCCCCACCTATGACTTTGGTGTTTCTCTGGTAGGACATCTAGATGCAAGTCATGACACCCCTAAATGGATTTTGTTTGTACTGTATTTTTCATGAAATAAAATGGACTATATAAATGCTATGCAGTTGCTTCCTTTTTAAACACTTACAGTGAATCCTGAAAATTACAGAAAAAATTATATATAGATTTCTCTCTTTTTTTTTTTGGTACCAGAGATCGAATTCAGGTCCTTTCCCTTGTGAGCAGACAGTGGAACCACTGAGTTAAATACCTGGCCCTATAGTTCTCTTATCCTCAAATCTTATTTTTGTACACATTCATTATGGACACAGCATGCACATGCTTGCAGTGTGTGTAACTACATGAGATTAACATGAATATTTCTGATTTGTGTTTTCTTCCACAACTGGTTATTGCAACCTGGTTTATGTCAGTGTGTGTGTGTGTGTGTGTGTGTGTGTGTGTGTGTATAAATAAATGTAATCATATATGAACTCTCTCCTTCCCTTCCAGTTTTCCAGTTTGTTGGAATGGGTGGTCATTGATTACATTACTAAATAAGATCACTCTTCTTTGCTCTCAGGCTGAGTAATACTTCCATGTCTTCTTCAGTAGTTCTGATTCAGTGATTATAAACTTTGGTTGTACATTAGAATCATTGTAGCTCCTTTACTATCCATGTCTGAATTTTTCAATGCACTTGCTAAAGAAAAATTTCTGGAAGTAGGGCCCAGGCATAATAATCTTTGAAAATCCCAGCTGATTTTATTGTGCAGCCAACCCAGGTTGAGGACCATTTTTTTTATGCTGTTTCTTTTCCTTCCTTTTCTTTATTTGGGGGTAGGCAAGAAAACTTCACAATTGTCATAATGAAGTAATTTATTCAATCATATCTTATTATTGGATATTCATGTTTGTTTGGTACTGGGGATTGAACTTGGGACCTTGTGCTTACGAGGCAGGTGGCAGAACCACTGAGCTAAATCCCCAGCAATTTCATTTTTTTTTATTCTGTTATTTAAAAAATGCATCAATAAACAGCCAACCTAAATTTTCTAAAATCAAGGTATCACTATATATTCACTCTTTGATAACCACTAAATTGGTTTGTTTATTAACTAATAAAGTATAAATATTTAGTTACAATGATATGAATTTGACATTAACTCACATTTTTTTCATGTGTTGTCTGTTAAAAGTGAAAATAGTTCTTTGGCATTTGAAAATTTCTAGTTGAGGAATTTGCCATCTCTAAAGTGAAGGAATTATTGTGGGAGATGCTTTCTGTTAGCTTGTTACTGAGCGTCCTTAAAATTTCCTCTACTAACACTGTTTTTATGTTGAAGTAATTTATGGTTTATATACAGTGAAATTTGTGAATCTAAGTTGTAGAGTGAGTCTAAATAAAGGTATAATCTTCATGTAACTGCGCTTTCATAACAATATAGAACATTTCTACCCAGAAAGTACTCTTGACTCATTTTTTGGGGGGTTATTAGCCCACTTAGTGGATGATCTTGAGCTGTACTAATTTCCTAGTGCAATCAAAGAATTAAAGATCAAGATAAATTAGTTGAAGCATGAACTTTGAAAATTATGTATTATGAAATGATGCAACAATAAAATGAAACTCAGTATTTATTTTGACATATGTTGTAGTAAGTTGTATATTTTCAGAGTACACAAATTTACCAGCAACACATGAAATAGCACTGTATAAGCAAACTTTTTGAGAGTATTATCTGCTTCTGCAATAGATGCTTTTTTTTACTTTTGGTACCAGGTGTCGAATTTGGAACCTTGTGCTTGTGAGGCAGACGGCAGTACCACTGAGCTAAATCTCCAGCCCCTGTATTAGATGCTTTAATGGTTCATTATTTGAACCATAATGCATGCATGTGTTATAATAAAGGAATATTATAGCACAAAATTCTGTTGGTGCAAATGTACATTTCTTTATACTGTATGGTAAACATTCCACAACAGACTAAGTTTATGAAGATGCATGAAAAAGAGGTTATCTATTTTGTTTTCATGCTGTTAGCACTGCGTTAAAGTAAGCCCTTCTTTTGCAGTCTGTAGGAAAGGGGCCAGGGATTTAGCTCAATGGTGCCGCTGCCTGCCTCACAAGTGCAAGGTCCCAAGTTTGACCCCCGGTACCAAAAAAAGAAAAACTCTAGGAAAAGTGACGGTAATGTTCAATAGTACATCTTGGTATTAGAATTTCCTTGAGATTTTTAAGTTCCTCACAGAAAGAGCTTTTTTTTTTTTTTTTTTTTTTTTTTTTTAAAGAAAGCTATCTTTGTGTGTGAGATAGGGCAAATGAAATTCTATTTCTTTGGTACTTGAAGTTAGACTGAATTATTTCACTGTACTTTATGTCAAGTATTTCTGTGTTCACCTTTGAACTTACGAGCAGAGAGGTGCATCCTCCCTCTGTAGTGAGTTTTCTCCCTGAAGTCCAAAGGAATCATATGTAAAAATCTTAGTAACCCCTGGTACTTTCTTTTGAAGTCTTCTTTTCATCTTGACCACTGATTTTATTTATACAGATACTGTGCTTTTTGGCCCTGATTCTTTTCATCTATTTTCTTTTGTTTATTGGCTTCTTTATTTTTATTAATACTGGGCACTATCAAAAGATCTATTTTAGGGGCCGGGGATTTAGCTCAGCGGTTCGGTGGCCTGCCTTGCAAGCGCAAGGACCCGAGTTCAATCCCCGGTACCCCCCCCAAAAAAAGATTTGTTTTAGATTCCTACCCCGTTCTCTCAGCAGACATAATTTAATCTCTCTTAATTTATGTCAGAGATAAGTTCATCTGCATGGGTTAATATTAAAAATATCAAAAGGACATCATTCTTTTTTACATATTTTCTTTGATATGTCTCCATCTTTTTAGCATCTTATAAAGCTTTGCTATTGCCCTGGTCTTCTCAATTCCTTCTACTAAATTCTTTGCCACTATGGGCAACATCATTTATCATTATGAATTTCAGTATGTTTATCTACAAGTCATTATTATCTCAATATTTTTTCTTCTCCCCTCCTCTTTCATTTTATTTTATTTTTTTTTCAGTACTGGATTTTGAACCCAAGGTCTTCATACTGAACTACATCCCCAGCCCTTTTTAAATTTTGTTGTTGCCTAGGCTGGACTCAAACTCAGGAACCTCCTACGTCTGCCTCCCAGAGTGCTGGGATTATAGGCATACACCACCATGCTGATTTTAAGATTTTTTCCTCTGGCTTTTAGTGACATTTTATCACTAGAAGATTAGAGTTGTTTTCTATAATAGTTCTGCTTTTTAAATACATTATGGTCATATTTACTGGTTTTCTTATGTGAAAAGCATATGAATAATTGTGTTTTTCTGAGATATAATCACTAGAATTGGGAGTAAGGTAGAAATTTTTTTCTCCCTTACCTCCTAGAGTATACTACCATTTTTTCTCCCACAAGCTTCCATCTTATTGTAAACTTACTCTTTCTGGTGCCTCAAAGAAAATTAAGACAAAGAATTGTCCCCTTCTTTCCTTTAAATGTTATTTAAATTTTTTTCTTTTTGATACGTGTCTTTGCCTCCCAATTTTACTTATAAATGTTACATCAAAGGTATATTTAACTATCATTTGTTATCTTTTTTATGTTAGCTGTTCATTGTTTTGTCTTTATCTAAGTAAACATTTTACTTAGCTAAGTAATTTTTAATAGTTTATTACTATATAATTTCATTGATATTGAAGCTTAAAATTATTTAAGGTGATTTTTTTTTTTTCATTCTCCTTCTAGTGGGATTTTAAGAGTTGTAACTTTTTTCCTTTAGAGTCTTCTGAGAATGATATTCCTATGGAAATCACCACAGCAGAACCACAAGTTTCTGAGGCAATATATGACTGTGTTATATGTGGACAGAGTGGCCCTTCCTCTGAAGACCGACCTATTGGGCTGGTTGTACTATTACAGGCATCCTCAGGTAAACTCAAATTAATTTTTCAGTGGGAAAAATTTTAGAACTAAGACATATACAAAAGATGAATCATTGTATTAAATGGAAGTTATAACTTTGTCTAGTTCTAAGTATAGATCTTTAAATATCAAGTTAGACCCAAATAGCAAAGATATTTTATTGGTTTTACCTTTTTTTAAAATTGAGTTTATTGGTACATTTCATGTATACAATACAGTTACATTCATTATTGGGATCCTGTACCTTTACATTGCAGGTCTTGGTTCTCATTTTTCCCCTTGTCCCTGCCTTCCCTTCACCTCCTCCTCCCCGCCCCATTTACAAACACTTTATTTCCATCTTTTCATTTTCTCACATTTTTTTTCTTTTTCCTTGTTACCTTTCCCCTACCCTTCCCACTTTCCCTACACCTTTAGCCCTTTTCTTCCCATTTCAAAATGTCAGTTATCTCATTAGGATCTTACGTACTATTTCAGTTTATTCACAGCAGAGAAACTATTCGGTATTTCCACGTGTGACTTATTTATTTTGCTTAGTATATCCTCAATATGTATCCATTTTCCTATGAATGAATCTAATTTCTCATGCTTTATGGCTGAATAATATTCCATTTTATAGAAAAACCACATCATCTTTATCCAGTTTCCAACTGATGGGCAAATGGGCTGTTTCCACGTTTTAGCTATTACAAACTGTGCCACTATAAACATGGGTGCTGCATATACATCACTGTGATATGATTCTTTTAATTCTTTTGGAAAGATACCCAGCAGAGGAATGACTGGGTTAAATGGAACCTCTAGTCCCAGCTCTTTGAGGTATCTCCATATTGATTTCCACAGTGGTTGCAGCAGTCTGCACTCCCACCAACAATGGAGAAGGGTTTCTTTCTCCCCACAACCCTGCCAACATTTGTTATCGTGTGATTTCTTGATAGCAGCCATTCTTTGTGGGGTGAGGTGGAATCTCAGTGTTGTTTTCATCTGCATCTCTCGAATGACCAGTGATGTGGAACATTTTTTCATATATTTAGTGGCTGCTTTTACTTCTTTTTCTGATAAATGTCTGATCATTTCAGATGCCCATTTTTGAATTGGGTCTTTATATTGGGGGGGGCTGGTTGTTTTGAGTTCTTTATATATTCTAGATAATAGTCCCTTGTCTGAGGAGCAGCTGGTAAACATTTTTTTCCCACATTGTAGGTTGTCTCTCAGTTCTGTTGATGGTTTCTTTAGCAGTGCAGAAGCCTTTTAATAAGATGAGATCCCAGTTATTGATTCTTTCTGCTAGTTCCCGTGCTACTGAGGATTTGTTCATAAAATCTTTTCCTATGCCAATGGCTTCAAGAGTTCTGCCTAACTTATCTTCCAGCAAGTTTAGTGTTTCTGTTTTAATGTTTAGATCCTTAATCCACTTGGATTTTAGTTTAGTGCATGGTGAAAGATAAGGGTCCAGTTTTAATCTTTGGCAGGTTGAAATCTAGTTTTTCCAACACCATTTATTAAAGAGGCTATCTTTCCTCCACTGAGGATGGTCAGCTCCTTTGTCAAAGATGAGGTAGCTGAGTATATCTGGATTTGTTTTTATGTCTTCCAATCTGTTCCACTGATCCTCAGATCTGTTTCTTTGCCAGTACCATGCTGTTTTTATCACAGTGGCTTTGTAGTATAGTTTCAAATTGGGAATTGTTATACGCGCTGCCATGTGTCTGTTGCCTAGGACGGCTTTTGCCATTCTAGGTCTCTTATGGTTCCAAATGAATTTTTGGATTCTTCTTTCTAGTTCTATGAAATATAGTGTTGGAATTTCAATTGAAATCGTCTTGAATCTGTATAGCAGTTTTGGTAGCATGGCCATTTTCACTATGTTGATTCTTCCTAGGGAATATCTTTCCATTTTCTTATATCCTCTTTGATTTCTTTTTTCAGAATGCTATAGTTATCAGTGTAGAGATCTTTTACTTGTTTTATTAGATTGATTCCTAGATACTTCATTTTTTTGGATGCTATTGTGAAAGGAATTTTTCCCCTAATTTCTCTCTCAGTGAGTCTGTTATTTGTATACAAGAAGGCTACTGATTTTTGGGTGTTCACCTTGTATCCGGCTACTCTACTGAATCTGTCAATTAAATTTAGAAATCTTTTGGTGGAGTTTTTTGGGTCGAGTATCATATTGTCAGCAAATAATTATTGTCAGTTTAACTTCTTCCTTTCCTATCATATTTATTGCTTCAATTTCTTTCTCTTGTCTAATTGCTGTGGCTAATGTTTCCAGAACTATATCGAAGAGGAGTGGTGATAGTGGCTATCCTTGTCTTGTTCCTGATTTTACCATGAAAGTTTTCAGTTTTTGGTCATTTAATATGACATTGGCTGTTGGTTTTTCATAGATAGCCTTTATTAAATTGAGATATAGACCGTCTATTCCAATTTTTTGGAGGTTTTTTATCATGAATGGGTGTTGAATTTTGTCAAATGCTTTTTCTACATCTATCAAGAGGATCATATGGTTTTTGTCCTTGACTTTGTTAATATAGTGTATTACATTTATTGACTTACGTATGTTGAACCATCCTTGCATTCCTGGAATAAATCCAACTTGGTCAGGATGTGTGATCTTCTTGATGATCCTCTGTATTCTTTTTGCTAGTATCTTATTAAGGATTTTTGCATCTATATTCATTAAGGGGATTGGCCTGTAGTTCTCTTTTTTAGTTGGGTCGTCCCCTGTTTTGGGAATCAAAGTGATACTTGCTTCCAGGAATGAATTTGGAAGTATTGCTTCCCTTTCAATTTCATTGAAAAGTTTGAAGAGTAAAGGCAGTAGTTCTTCTCTGAATGTCTTATAAAATTCAGCAGTGAATTCATCAGGACCTGGGCTTTTCTTTGTTGGTAAATTTTTTTAAAAGTTTTTTGGTACCAGGGATCAAACTTGGGTCATTGCGCTTGCAAGGCAGGCACCAGAACCACTGAGCTAAATCCCTGGCCCTGTTGGTAAATTTTTAATTACATTTTCAATTTCACTGACTGTAATCGCAGTGTTTAGAATGTTTTTATCTTCTTTGTTCAACTTCGGTAATTTGTAAGTATCTAAAAATCTGTCCATTTCTTCTGTGTTTTCCATTTTATTAGAGTACAGGTTCTCAAAGTAGGTATTAATGATCCTCTGGATTTCTGTTGGATCTGTTATGACTTCACCTTTTTCATTCCTGATTGCATAGATCTGAGCCTTTTCTTTCCTTTTTTTTTTTGATAAGATTAGCTAAGGGTTTATCAGTTTTATTTATTCTTTCAAAAAAACCAACTCTTCGATTCATTTATTTTTTTGTTTTCATTTTCTTAGTTTCCATTGCATTGATTTCTGCTCTGATCTTTATAATTTCCTCTCTTGTTCGAGCTTTGGGTTTTTCTTGCTCTTGTTTTTCTAGTAGTCTAAGATTCATCATGAGGTTGCTTATCTGAGCTCACTCTGTTTTCCTAGTGTGGGCATTCAGTGCTATGAATTTTCCATGTAGAACTGCTTTCATTGTATCCCATAGATTCCTGTATGTTGTATTGGCATTTTCATTTATTTGTAAAAACTGTCTTAATTTCTTCTTTAATTTCCTCCGTGATCCATTGATTGTTCAGGAGAGTATTCTTCAATTTCCATGTGTTTGTGAAGTTCCTACGGTTTCTTGTGCTATTGATTTCCAGCTTGATTGCACTATGATCTGATAATATACAGGGGATAACTTTTGCATTTATTCAGACCTGTTCTGTGAGCTAGTATGTGGTCTATCTTGGAGAATGACCCATGTGCAGCCGATAAGAATGTATATTCTGATTTTGTGGGGTGGAACACTCTATAGACGTCTATTAAGTCCATGCGTTCAGAAGCTTGGTTGAGTTCTAGTATTTCATTATTGATTTTCTGCCTAGATGACCTGTCTATTTGTGATAGTGGGGTATTTAGATCCTCCACTACAATTGTATTAGTGCTTATTTGGTTTTTCATGTTACTTAATATTTCTTTTATATAGTTGGGGGCATTAGTATTTGGTGCATATATGTTTATGATTGTCATCTCTTCCTTTTGAATTGTTCCCTTTACAAGAATGTAGTGGCCTTCTTTGACTCTCTTAATGAGTTTTGGTTTGAAATTTACTTTGTTAATAACATTGCTACTCCTGCTTTTTTCTGGGCTCCTGTCGTGTGCAGAATTGTTTTCCATCCTTTCACTTTCAGTCTATGGGCTTCTTTTTGCACTAGGTGTGTTTCTTGTATACAACATATTTTTGGATTTTGCTTCTTAATCCATTCTGCCCATCTGTTCCTCTTGATTGGTGAATTGAGAACATTGACATTGATGCTTATAACTGATATGTACTGACTTATTGTTGTCATGTTATTGTCCTTTTGTTGACTCTTTTTACCCCCTCCCCCCTTTTAGTTTCTTACCTTGCCTATTCGATTTGGTCTGTTGGGCCTTATGGTGTTGTGACCTTCATTGTCTTTTTCTAGAGTATTGTTTAGAATTCCCTGTAGTGCTGGTTTCTTGTTCATGAAGTTTCTCAAGTGTTCTTTGTCATGGAAGTATCTTATTTCCCCATCCATTTTGAAAGAGAGTTTTTCAGGATACATCTTTCTAGGTTGGTGGTTGTTTTCTTGTAGGACTTGGAATACCTCCCTCCAGGCTCTCCTTGACCTGAGGGTTTGTGTTGAGAAGTCTGCTGTGATTCTGATGGGCTTTCCTTTGTATGTGATTTGTTTCTTTTCTCTTACTGCATGTAGTATTTTGTTCTTCTGTTGGGTGTCTGGGATCTTGATTATTATATGTCTAGGCGTAGATTTTTTTTTTATTGTGGCTAGTTGGAGTCCTATATGGCTCACTTATCTGTATGTCTTATTCTTCCATTCTGTTTGGGAAGTTTTCTGTCATTAATTCTGTGAACAGCTTCTTTAAGTGCTTTGTGTTTTCTCCCGCTACTTCATGGATTCCTATCAGTCTTATATTATTCTTCTTTG